CTCAAGAACCTTCTTCAAACAAAGTTTTTCTTTGAAAATAGACTTAAAATTTCCAACTGCTCTTAATCTGCAGCAGCAATTTATTTGTTATAATAGTTGAACAGATGTGGGAGAGGAATGTAAACTCCAGATAAATCAAGTTGCTTACACTGAAAGTAAACTTCTCTTCCTTTTACTGGTTTTCCTCATTAACTCCATTTTTAAAAGAAATCTTTGCTTCATTATTTGATTTTCCTCCATTTTCAGTTTTTGAAATGTAAAACAAAACCTTTAATATTCTTGAAATAGAAATAATACTAATTTAACATTTTATTTCAGTGTGTTTACTTGGCACACTAGTTAAAATGACCTTATTTGATTCTTAGTTTCTGTGGCATGAGTCAAGGTTATTTATGGATTTATTCTGGTTTCTTCATTAGAGTCTTTTAGAAAACATTTTAATTTTATTCATAATTTAGGTATACCTTAAACAATTTCAATTTAGAAAAAAATTATATAACTCATTATTTTAGAAATAAGTTACCAATCTAACTTGAGTAATTATCATATTATATTAATAAATTAGTCATTAATTTAAAATATTTTGCTGTTAATAACTTGATAATTTATTTTCAAATATAAAATAGTATAGCCAATGACTTTCTTTATTCTTTAGTATTTAGTACATGATACCTAAAGTTTATGTATTTTAAGTGGTAGATAATAGTTAAAAATCAGGGAAAAAAACAGACTTTTAGAGACCTAGGCATCATATATTCAGATATGTGATGGTCTAGAGAAAACCAGTATTCTCCCATTACTATATTAAATGATTTTAGTAAATAGAGGTCCATTTCCCCTGAGAATATTGAACTCTACTGATCAGTCCTGAATTTAATGAAACAACTTTCTTGCTTATTACTTGAACACCCTTTGAGATTTAAACATTTTAGGACTTTTGGGAGAAAATATATACAAGATTATATACATAGGAAACAAAAAGTGAAAACGTTTGTCGGGGTTTGAGATACTTATTAAATGGGGATTTTAAGAAATATTGTATGTTATTTAAAATTGAGTTGAGGAAGCAAGCATGTATCTGTTCTCAAAATCCTTTACTAAAACTATCACAAACTATATTTAGAAGTAAAAATATTAGTACGAATGAGGGGTGTTTATTTAGTACATGTACCTGTTGCTAGGTGTTACAGGATATATCATTTCTTGAACATATGCTACGTGCTTAGCACTATACTAAGTACTTTATGTGTATTACTTCGTTGTATTTTATTTCTAACAATAACCTTGGAATAAAGGTAGCATTTTCATCTCATTTTATAGAGGAAGGACCTTAAATAAGGTTAAGTAACATACCCAAGATCGTAGTAAAGGCCCAAACCTTAGTTTATAATGCAGTGGAGGAGATTAGATACATTAAAAAGTTACTAAGAATTTTTTTGAAATACCTGATTATTACAAACTGAAATGTTAACTATATGCCATGCAGTTAGAACTGAAGGAAGGAGTGTCTATACTTTTAGAAGATTGTGTGATTAAATGAAATCCATTAATTAGATAGCATGGGACACTGTGCATGATGGGTATTATTGTTACTACTGTTGATTATGGATATGATCTGGAACAGTACAGAGGGAGAGTGGGGAGAGGTGCCTTCTGTGTACAGCCTGGAAAGAAGCAGAGAGCTGTGGACAGACAGGAGGCATGGCCAGAATCTAGTTTGTATAGCAGAGGTAGGAGATATGATTGGACACAGATTGTAGCTACATCTTAGAGGGCATTGAATGTCATGCAGAAGCGTAACTTAGCCCTCCACCATCTAAATGGTTAAATTCGTTATACTGCACCTTCATCCTCTTATTAAGTAACTTCTGGAGACAGATCTCTCATGAAAGGTATTATTAGGAAACATTTCTCTTTCCCCTCTGGACAGTTTTTCACATTAGGAAGTACTTCCTTTCATTGAACCAACTCTATCTCACTGTAAATTCGACTCAACATTAGGAAACAATATAGCCATGTTGAGTGAACTCACTATTGCATATTTGAGGATTGCTCTTATGCTGCTCCTTCGTTATTTTCATATCCTGGGCCAGTATTATCAGTTCTCTCAATCGAATTTCATTAGGCTTGGAATTGATTTCCTATCATCCTGGTCCCTTTCTTCTAAGTAAGTTTGTCTGACAGCTCCCCTAGAATTAAATTTTAACTCTTTCAGGTTATAAAGCATTAAATGGTGATTTGAATTCTGTTTTTATTTCTGTATTATATTTTTTGTTTTCTCTGGAACTTGTAGTATTGCTAAATTGTAAATTTTCTTCTCAGGACTGTGACTATATGATTATTGGGGTTTTTTTTTTCACATCCACATGAGTTAGTAACCCTAAAATTAAAATGACCTGTACTGCCCTGGCCGGTGAGCTCAGTTGGTTGGAGCATCATCGCATAAACCGAAAGGCCGTGGGTTTGATTCCCAGTCAGGGCACATGCCTGGGTTGCGGGTTTGGTCCCAGGTCTGGGTGCATTTAAGAAGAGTCCCCAGTAGGGGCGCCTAGGAGAGGCAGCCGATCTATATTTCTCTCTCACATCGATGTTTCTGTCCCTAACTCTCTCCCTCCATTCCCTACTCTCTTAAAAAACAAAACAATAATTGTATCAGGTGAGGATAAAAAATAATAATAAATAAATAAAATAAAATGATCTGTACTTATGTATTACTTTAAAAAATCATTAATTTTTAATATCTAAAATACTGAAAATCTTTTATTTGAATATATTATCCTTTCATATGTTAACTTCATATTCCATGCCTTAGAGTACGTTAAGCACTTTGTACATAATTATCTCATTTAAGACTCATGGAATGCTTATGAGCAAAGTATTATCCCCATTTAAAGTTTAGTAACTGAAGCTTAGAGGAGTAAAAGAATTTGTCCCTCACAAAGCTTTTAAAAAGGTGCTTATAACCATTATACTATAATGCTTAAATTGTTTCCTTTAGTATTATGTTGTCATCTTTATTGGTAATTGTGTCCAGCATTCCCATTAAGTAAATAATTTTTCACTTTTATTTATTATAAAAAGTATTGGAGTGCTTAAATTTTTCATTGTATGGTATGTTTAACATCAAGTATGTTTTAGTTTTTCATTAAACTGATTAGAAATGATAAAAGAAGACAGCAGCTCTATCTTACCTGAATTTGAGATAACAATATTTCAAGAAAGTTAAAATAGCCCTGATATGATTTTTCAAAAAGTGTTCAGCGTTAGAGGTGCCTCAAGACCACACCCAGGTTCGATGATTCACTGGAGGCCTCACAGAACTCAGGACGTAGTTGTACTCATGACTAAGATTTATTCCAGTGGAAGAATACAAAACAAAGTCACCAAGAGGAAAGGCACGTGGGATCAAGCCTGGAAGAAGTGAGATTCAGGTTTTTGAAAGTCCTCTCCCAGTGAAGTCACACAAGGTGTGCTTGATACCTGCAGTAATGAGAGGTGACAAAACAGGCTAAGTGTTGTCTATCAGAGAAGCTCATTAGAAACTAAGTACCTAAGACAAGGTTTTTACTGAGCCTTGTTATGTAGGCACGTTGCACCTAGTTCATACTGAAATTCCAGACTTTCAGAAGGAAAGCAGGTATTTAGCATAAACAACATTGTTTATATAGTCCAGGCAATGAGTAACTCTTATCTTTTAGAGAAAGTTTTATATGACTGTAGGGAACTGTTTACGAGCCAAGTTCCCAAATGCCAGTCAAAGGCCAGCCTTGCGAGTGGGCCTTCCACAGGATAGGCTACCTCATGCCTGCTTAGTTAGGTGTTATCCAAGATTCAAGAGGCATTGGGGAAATTAGGTATTCTTGTTCATTTGTTAGTGTAGTGGATGTGATTGAATTTGAAATTTTTTTCTTTGAAAAATTCTAAGTCTAAACGGTATACTTAAGTGTATTTATTTCCTTGAAGTCATTAATAGAGTATCCTATCTTTGTCAATCTGTTGTTCCAGCTGTTGCTTCCAGATATTGAGGAAATTGAATTTTTGTGCATAGAATTATCTATAACCCAGTACCTCAAACTTTATTGAAAAGCTCTAGAGTGTGTTGTTATTATTGCTGCTGTTAAAATAACAACTGTTATTATTATTATACTTCAATTGAGAGACACTGTTATAGTGTTGTGTCATTCCATAGTGTATATTTTATAATTTGAGCTATCTAAAAATCTTTTTGGAAATGATATGTAATCATAAATAACAAATAACTAGGTGATAAAATCATATGATCTAAATGAAACTAGAACCAGCACAGATAAGGCCTCCTGTTAAGCAGGTAACTGATGGAGAGAGGACAATGCCAGTCTTGTCTCTTGTTTCCTTGTATTGTTCATAAAACACAGAAGCGTGGATATTCTGTTAGACTGAGGGTGTTGTTTCTTGTTTACCTCTCTGTGGCCAGTGGATAGCACAATGTCTGGCAGATAGTAGATGCTTAAATATTTACTGAATGAATTAGCAACTGAGTCTGTGAGTGAAAAGAGTAACTGGTGAAATGTCAGTGAAAATTAGTTCATACCAGAAGAATGTGGGAAAGGAGAAAGAAACATCTGTGCTGTTTTATAGAGATTTTCAGGGATTCTTTATTGATTGATTATTTTAATCTGATGATTAAATGTTGAGATAGAGAGGAACAAGAAGTCAGCTTATTATTTAAAAGGGCTGGCTGTATTAGTTTTTCAATAGCCTAATTTCTTAGGGTAGACCTTTTAAGAAGGATTCCCAAAGTATTCAACAAATGAAATCTAACTCCTTTCCTTTTTGTTTTGTTTTGTTTTAAAGAGAGGCAGTCTTGATTATGGTTTTAAAAGGTTTTTTTTTTTTTTTAAATATCAGTTAATTATTATCTTTGTTTTCCTTAGAGATTTAATAGGATGAAAAAAGAAACAATCATTACTAGGTTAGCTTGCTACCATTTCACCAAAAATGTTTTCTTATTTTCTTTCCAGCAACACCCAGGAGCCTTCTCAGCCTTTGGCTTCATCAGTAGCTTCAGCACAGAGCACGCCCGAGAGGCCGGAAAGCCCAGCCTTTGCCAGACCAGGGGTGGCCAGTCTCACAACTGCTGCTGCCTTCAAGCCTGTAGGATCCACCAGCATTATCAAGTCACCAAGCTGGCAACGGCCAAACCAAACAGGTATGCCAAAGAAATCTCTTAACATTTTGCTTTTCTTAAATGTAATTATAAAAATGTGTTCTGGAATATTTGATGGAATGAATTGGTGAAACCCATTCTCAACCATCTAAGATTTTAAAAGGACTGCAGAGAATAGCTACAGCTGTTTTCCTCTCAAAGTGTTTCATAACCATTTTCTATGTTATTGCCATTTGCTACTTAAAGCTATAGAAGTGGGCATTTCTTTGTTTTCTAGATTACTTAGGAAGCATGTGTTGGATTATATATTTGGGGTCTCATTAACAAACTGTCTTGTTGGAAGTTTGTCCTGGAAAATACAACATTTTAGTTTTGATGACATATGCAAAATAACAACAACAGAAGCATTTAATGTCATCAGACAATTACTGAAGAAAGGATCTTCGACTTCTTGTCCTCTGAAGATTCACAAAGCAGAAATGGAAGGAAGACATAGTACTACAAAGAGAGCACTTGAATGGTGTTAGGATGGAACAACTTAGGGTCAGCCTGGAAACCTGAGTTTTCATTCACATCTATAGATGAATAGCTTTAAAAAAAGTCACTTAATAACCTCTTTGATCCTCAGTGTTCTGATCTGCAGAATGTAGGAAGACTAAATGATCTCCTGTTCCGGAGTGAACAAAGTTTGTAACTGTAGGACTAAAGTAACAGTTTTAACAGGAAGATGGGACTCTACTTAAATGTTGCCAATCCCTCACTCATCTTTCATCTCTTCCCGTTCTTTATACTCCCCCTGGATGATCTCTCATCCAGATTTCTCTTAGTACCTAGCCACTGATAATGTATACAGTCCTCTCTCATGAACTTCACATCCTCAAACCCTGTTGACCTACTTGCTGTTTCCTGATGGCACCTCAAATGCAGCATGTGTGAAAATGCCATTAGTTGTCTCTGGGATTGGTACATCCACCCAGTCACCAAAGCTGGGATATGAGCTTGAGACCTCCCACTCACCCCTAGTCTCACAGTAATTAACACCTAATGATTCCACATCTCAGTATTTCTCAAATTTCTTTTCTTCTGTCCATTGCCTTGTCATTGCAAATAACTTGTCAACTAATTTTCCTGTTTCCTTCTCCTCCCATCAGTCTGTCCTCCATACTCCAGCAATGATTTTTCTAAAGCTGGTTTGACTTTGGCCCCAGCTATCTCCACAAGCTCGTCTCCTGCTGCTCCCGGTTAGATATGATCTAGACTATTTTAAAGAAAAGAAAATGTTATTATTTTGAAAATGTAAAATTAATGTTATTAACCTTTAAAATTTCTGGACTATTAATTAAAGTAGCAAACTATTCTCTTGGGGGAAAATGCTGACAGCTCAGCCTATGCATTTTTAATTATTTTCATTTATTTAAAGCTTATCCGTGACAGTCGAGATTTGCTGTAAATATTTTGTATATGCATTAAAATACAGAAAATCAGGAAAAAATTTGGTAAGGTAATTAGAAGGGAATAAGAGAGTATTTCCTAAAAGAGCAAGGGAAAGACTGGATTTCTGAGGTAGAAACTGATAAAAGGCACAAAGTATATCTACTGTGGAGGCCAGAAAATAGTATATACTGCTTTTGGAAACTATTGTCAAAAATTTCACTTGATGTGGAATACGCTACAGCAAAATTACCGCAAGAGGGCGACAGACTTCTTTCTTCTCTGGATAATCAAGGCAGGCAAATACTGCAATTACAATTATGATTCACATGGTCAGTATTTAAAATACCATGCTTTTTACAAAACATGTAAGTGAATTTAATTTGAAAAAAAAAGTATAGAACATTAGATGTTATATAACATTATAAAGCTAATATTACAAAAATTGAAAATGTTTTGCCATTATTGCATTATTGTTGAGTTTACATCTTGATGCTTATTTAGCTCAAATCAGAAAATATTTGCAGAACACCCACTATCTAGGTGCTACACACGGACAATTCATGAGTTACTATGTTATATATAAAAGTCCTTATTTTACAATATTTTGTAAAAATTATGTAATAAAAAATTCCTAGCTCCTCAAATTCTTTTATTCTATTCTACCTAATAGTATCTCGTATTTTAGAACAAAACATCTCAGAATAATCTATTCTTAGTCTTATAAACAATTTCAAGAGCTTCCTAATACAAATAAAAAGTTATTTTGATTTAGAAGGTGACAGGTGCCTCATTAGGGGTTCTCATATTCTTCACAATTCGCCTGTGAAAACTGCAGTGTCAACCAAGGAGATGCAAGAGCTGGAAAGGCTAATTGCAGGCTAGTGTGGGCTTAGGTAAAGCACGAGGGCAGGTGCCGTTACTTCTCTCACCTGAGAACATCAGCCTTGTTTCTCTCGTAATTCATAGCTGTGTACTAGTTGGTGGAAAAAATGGGAAAACAGTTTTTTTATTTTCCTATTCTCCCATCACCAAAGAGTGATTATTACCAATGATGTCATTTTTAAAAATAATTCCTACAGTTAAGTGGAGAAGTGGAATCAAAATCACTAAATTGCAGTCTGTGAGCCCACTTAATTGATCTTGAAATCAGTTTAATGGACCACAGACAGTATGTTCATTAAAAAATGAAATAAAATAGAAAATATAAGAATATTTTAATATGCTAAGGGAAGTATGTTATAAAATGGGGTTTTAGTTTATATATGTGTATGTAAGTGTATTTGTATATACACATACTAACATGTATTTTGGGTCAGAAGGTAAAGTATATTTCATACTGTATTTTGTGTTAAAAGTTTGAAAATCTTCTTTGGGATGACTAATGTGGTTGTGAACTGAGAGCTTAGAGAGAATGCCTGCATTCAAAGGGCTAATTGAAATTTCAGTACCTACTAGTGCATTCTAAACCTGTCATGGGTTTCAGTTACCTCCACTGAAGTTCTGACTTTAAATCTTTGATCATTTCACTTGTGGTGTTTTACAGTGTGTGTTGCCCAGAGAGAGGTCTTACAAGAGCACAGTTATGTTGTACCAGTTGATAAACAGGAACTAGGTGTATATAACAGCATTATAGTTTAGGTGGGATCATCTTTTTCTCAGGCATGTAGTTTAGCATACACCACTACACATATGCAAGCTTGCCAGTGACTGCCAAAAACCTAAATATTTTAGGATGTAAAATGTTCAAAAGTTCATAATCTGCATGACAGTGTTAAGATAAAAGAGAAGTAAGAACCCAAGCTTGAATTTTATGTAAGTTGGCAAAACTACTCCCTACTCACCCTGTGTCTTTGGTTAGACTTCCATAATTCAGATACAATGGTCCATGTAGAAACATTGACTTGATCTAGAAAAATACATAATAGGTGAGATTCTTCTTGTCACTTTTCAGAATTGCAGACTTGTACTTTTTTAAAGTTATATTTTAATTAACTCTATTTGTACATCTAATTGATTTTAGAATGTTTGGAACCTCCCTATTGTATATAATTAATAAGTGATTAGATAGATATTTTCAAAACCTTTGTAAATTTACTGGTATAAGTTTAAAAGTATGTTCCTGTGCTTATGTAGGTGACCTAATTTGCTATGTAATGTTTTTCCTAGATTCTGTTTAGGTTATGGATACCGGATCAGTTCATTTGGTGCAAGTATATGTATAAAATACTACTATCTTACCCAGTATAGTCAGATGTTTTTCACAAATACAGTATTAGAGTCATAAAGAGCCATTACATGTTAGAAGTGCATCAGTTTTCTATCTTTAATTGTGTACAAAGTGAGGACAACTCATTCAGGGGTGTCTAGCCTTTTGGAGTCTCTGGGCCATACTGGAAGAGGAAGAGTTGTCTTGGGCCACACATTAAATACACAGACACTACCAAAAACTGATAAGCAAAAAAGAGTTTTAAGTAAATTTATGATTTTGTGTTGGGCCGCATTGATAGCCATCTTGGGCCACAGGTTGGACACCCCTGCGAGTGCTTTGCTAGATCAGGCCTATTGTTCATTGAGCTCAGCTTCCTGGCTGATGGTGGTCCTGAAATAGAGTAATGCCCACCCTATATAGTTGAATTTCAGGAGGCCTGAGATGTTCCCCAGATGGAACATTTTGAGCCTTCAATCTGTTTATCTGTTAAAATAAGGGTCAAAAAAAGTCCTTTAGAGCATTCTTGTGACGCTCAAATGATATAACAAAGCACTTGATATATAGAGGATACTCAAAAAAGGTTTCGTTCGCCCCTTTATTCTTTTTAGGGATGGTATTAATAACTTAGACTGTTACTGTCCAATGAGACAGTTCTCATGTGACTTTCCTGCTTGAAAACATTTTGGGCTCTGCTGCCCACACCTTTAATGTTTGGCCTCTTAACAGGGCTTGTGGTCCCTTTACAACCTTGTGCCAATCTTTTCCAGCCTCATTTTGTAATACCGTTCCTCATGTTCCCTATAGTCCAGTCACACTAAAGTTCGTAAGTTCATACCATTCTTCAGGCACACACTTCTCTGCTTTGTATAGCGAGTGGCTTCTTTTATTTGAAATGCTTTTACACTCTTCTACCCCTTGAACATTTTTATTCACTCTTTAAGACCAGATGTCATCTTCTTTGTGAACCATTCTTGAGTCCTATAAGTAGTTGCCTATCCTTTCTCTATGTTCCTACAAAATTTGGTGATGGCCGCCTTATAGCATTCATCATGATCATTTAAACTGTTTACATATGTGTCTTTGCTGTTTATAGACCCCCTTAAGGACAGGGATCAAGTCTTACTAATCTTTGTTTGACAGCATCTAAACAATACCTGGCTAAGATTATGGACCCTAAGTAAATGTCAGTGAAGGAATAAATGAGTGGCTGGATAAGTCAGTTTCCTTATTTTTTACATCTTCACAAAATTTGAGGGATTCACAAGCATCGTTCTTTCCTCCTACCAGACTTCAAATTGCCACAGCAGTCATTGAACAGAGGTGAACGTGCTATCTGCCAAATGCTCCCATTAAAAACTACAAGTTGCTTAAGGAGAAGAGGACTTCACTTTGCTTGAAG